TCATAGCCCAATTCCTATACTCTTTATTATATATTTCAAGCTATTTAGCATTTGTGCTGATAAATAAATAAAGGGAGACTAGTATAGATCTATTTCAAGCTATTTAGCTCTCATCAGCTAGCCATACCCTTACTGGGAATCGAGCCTTAGAGGCAATACAGCACAGGCTCGAATCCCAGTAAGGGTATGGCTAGCTGATGAGAGCTAAATAGCTTGAAATAGATCTATACTAGTCTCCCTTTATTTATTTATCAGCACAAATAAACATACACACACACACACAAACGTATGTATGTATGTATGTATGTATGTATGTATGTATGTATGTATGTAAAGTTATATAGAGATGTAGAGAGAGATGGGTGGATGGGTGGATGGACAGACAGACAGATAATAGAGATGTTTTGAGAAGAGAGAAATGTTTTGAGGATTCCCATGATAGATAGATAAGATGATATAGGTAAGTAGGTAGGTACGTAGGTAGGTGGATAGATGGATGGATGGATGGATGGATGGATGGATGGATGAGATGTTTGGAGGATTCCTAAAATAAGTAGACAGACAGATAGACAGACAGGTAGATGTTTTGAGAAAGAAAGCGGGGGCAAGAGGGAGGGAGGGAGGCTGGATGAATTATGATGTTTTCATTTGCTGTAATTCCAACACTGCTCCCATGATAGTCTTTTTTTTTTTTTATTCCTACCCTCCCATCTGTTCCCCAGGTGTGTGGTCAAAGATGAAGACGCCGCTCTGCAGAATTTGCACCAGTCCCTACGCCACATCAGGCACCTCAAGGTGGCTTTCGACCAGTCCAAGGAAGGGATCCGTCAGAAGGTCTGCCAGATCCTGGACCTTCTGGCCAAGCAGAACCACAAGCTGCAGGCCTTGTCCATCGAATGCATGGGAGAAAACCCATTTTTTTATTCCGGCCAAGACATCCTGCAGAGCATCAGGGGCATCTGCCAGAGCCAGAACCGAATCGACCTGCGGCGCATCGATTTTCGGGCCATGCCTTTCACCCTGGACGATGGGATCGTCCAGCTCGTGGCCTCCAGCAGCCCGAATCTGCACACTTTGTACCTGAACAATCGCACTTTAGTTTGCAATGTCACTCCGGAGACAATCATTGAGCTGCTGAAGTCTTGCCCCCAATTATCCACCTTAGGGGTCTATTATGCCAGCCTCTCCGAGGAAGTCTTTAAGGAACTGGTGACCCTCAGCCGACCGACTTTCAAGTGCCTGGATATTTTCTGCGAGCGGCTGGACAAATACATTCCCGTGATTTCGGAGGAGCTGTGGGCTTTGGTGTGCGAGAAATATCCCCAGCTCTATGTCCATCTGGAACTGGACCACACGGTCCCCCAGTGGAAGATCCCACGGATCTTGAAGCCCAACATCCCGGTGACGGAGTTGCAGCTGAACACTTTTGCCTACATGGTGTATCAGATCCGCTTCGCCACCCTCAACTACAGCGGCACTTTGGAGAAGCTCGTCCTTCGCACCACCTCCTCGGACGAACTCAACACCTCGCTCGTCGATTTGGCCCGAAAATGCGCCCGCTTGAAAGAGGTCCACTGTTTCTGCGTGGTCAGCCATGCGGTGGTGGACGCTTTCCTATCAAGCTGCCCGAGGTTGGAAAGTTACACCCTGAAGACATCCAAAGAACGCAGTCCGTGGCAACCCACCACCAACTTGTGATTGCGCTTAAGGATTTTTACTTTCCGGTCACGAGAAGAGGGAACATTGACAATTCAGCTTCTTCTACTAGGTTCACTCGTGGTTGTTTATTTATGACAGGGCCAGGGGTGAAATGCTACCAGTTCTGACCAGGTCACTAGAACCGGTAGCAAAAAATGCTAAGGTTCGCCGGAATAGGGAGCTAAAAAAAAGGTTTAAAAAGTGAAAAAAAGAGGTTCCATGATGTTTACCGTATTTTTTGGAGTATAAGATGCACCTTTCCCCCCCAAAAGAGGGTGAAAATCTGGGTGCATCTTATCCACTGAATACAGCACTTTTGGCCTCCTGAAACCCCACCCCCTTTGCAAAAATGGCCATGCAGAGCCTTTAGGAGGCTTATAGAGTGCTCCTCGGGGCTGGGGAGGGCAAAATGAGTGAAAAATAGTCTGCTTTTTGCTTGTTTTTGCCCTCCCAGCCCCCAAAAGCAAACTATAAGCCTCCTAAAGCAATAGCAATAGCAATAGCAATAGCNCCTTGTCATCTTCTCCTCCTCCTTTCTTTCTTCTCCTTTTCTTCTCTCTCTCTCTCTGTCTGTTTCTCTCTTTCTCTGTGTGTGTCTCTGTCTCTCTATCTGTCTCTCTGTCTCTATCTCTGCCTCTCTGTCTTTCTGTTTGTCTCTGCGTCTCTCTCTGGGTCTGTGTGTCTGTCTCTCTGTGTATCTCTCTCTCTGTATCCTTCTTTTTTCTTCTCCTATTCCCCTTCCACCTTACAATCTTCTCCTCCTCTCTTTCTTCCTCTTCTTTTTCTTCCTCTTCTTCTTCCTCTCCTTCTCCTGCCTCCTCTTCCTCCGAATTCTCCAGTGCTAATAAACGGCTTCTGTGTTTTGAGTTCACCCTGATTTGTTTTGCCCTGCTTTTAAACCTGGATTCTTCCCCAGATGTGCTGGGCATTCAACTCCCAGCCAGAAAATGTTTTTTAGGAGGTGAGGACCAGGAGTTGCAGTCCCCTTTTAATCACATCCTTTGGTCTGGTAAAAGTTTGATTTTAGAATTATATTTCATTAACATTTTATGCTGCCCATCACCCCTGCAAGGGGACTTTGGACAGCTTACAATTCAAATTCAGGAACAAGCTTAGATCGCAAAAATCTAAGGGACTTTTCTTTGCTGTTTGCTCCACAATTGGGACTTCCCAAACCTCCCATTGGCTTTGCCCAAAATTGGCTGGGACGCTAAAACTGGCAGTGCCAATCTGGAGAATGCCCGCGATGTGGATACTTTGCTGAATTTACCTTAGATTCAGGCTTTTTCATAGCTGAGTGAGGGCCCTGTATCTTCTCTGAGGCTGTGTATGTTGCGTGTACACGAATACATGCAATGGGGGCACAGAAGTACAGATAGTCCTCAACTTGCAACAATTCATATAGCGACTGTTCAAAGTTACCATCGCACTAAAAAAAGTTTCCTTATGTTTTTCACACTTACGACCGTTGTAAAATACCCATGGTCAGGTGGTCAAAATTCAGACCCTTGGCAACCGATTCATATTTATGACGGTTGCCATTTCCCAGGATCGTGTGATCCCCTTCTGACAAGCAAAATCAATGGGGAAACCAGATTTACTTAACAAACTGTGTTTCTAGCTTAGTAACTGCAGTGATTCATTTAACGAAGGGCGGGATAAAAGTTCAGTCAATGGGCAAATTCACTTCCCAATAGTCTCACTTGGCAACAGAAATTTTGGGTCGTAAGTTGAGGACTACCTGTAGCCTTCTTGAGTCCACAGCTTATTTTTAAAATCCATTTTTTTGACTGGGATACATTTATATTTTTAAAAATAATAATACGCCATATATCTATATATCTGTATATCTGTATATCTATATCTATATATCTACATCTATATCTAACTAGCTATCTAGCTAGCTATCTAGCTATCTAGCTATCTATATCTCTATCTCTATTTCTAACTATCTATCTATCATCTATCTATCATCTATCTATCTGTCTATTTATCTATCTATCTATCTATCTCTATCTATCTATCTATCTATCTATCTA